TATGTTTCTTTGCGGCTTAACAAAATAGGAGTCTTTAAATGGTGCGGATATTGGGAAAAATGGGTGTGGTTGTGGGGGTGTGGTCACTGAGGGGCGCTGTAAAGCTTTCTTGCACAGGGCGCCTAAAGGCCTAAGGCCGGACCTGTTTATAGCCCATCCGCTGACTAAGTTACACTAACCTTTACCATGCTCCCTCCCCTCCACTCCATTGGCTGTTGGAGTGAGCAGTTGAACCCTGTATTCCCTGTAAGGTAGGTGCTGGGTGTTATTAAAGCCTACACGGGTCTTCATGTGACAGTGTTTGAGCCTGGCAATTGACCAGGCAGGCCTGATCACTGTATCCTTAGAAGAGGTCACATGCTCCCTATACCTGGGGCTCCGATCGGGATCTAAAAAGAGAAATGGGAGTAGGTGTCATGCCGGACAAAGTTGAATACCGAGCCGTGATTAGGTTCCTCCATCTTCAAGGGAAATCTGCCTAAATAATCCATTAAGAGATGTCAGCTGTGTATGGAGAGGATTGTCCATCATATGAGACTGTCAAACGATGAAAGAGAGAATTCCAGTGTGGTCGCACAAATATACAGGATGGCCCAAGAGAAGGTCGTCCGTCAACTGCCACAGAACCAAGTGTGGTGGCGAAAGTTGAGCTCCGTATTCAACTTTGTCCGGCATGACACCTACTACATGTCTCTTGGCTCTAACTATAATTCACCACGACCTACAAAAACAAAAATTGGCATGCATATTACTAAAGATATCCACCTATAAACCTGCAAAATGTCAGATCCCTAGCACATCTAGATCATGGTGAGGGTAAGAACTTATTAGCCGTCCCTCGTATTAAACAGGCCTTAGCGAACCGCACGCCAACACGTTATAGGCCTGAAGCCAGCTTAAAACAACCAACTTCATAATATTGCAAGTAAAGGCCAAATCAGTCCCATTTCCTGATAATATATGGTTATTTTTATGGCAGGCCTTAGTCAATAATTTTGCCAGATAGGTAACGGTTTTGACAGGTGTCAGCCCCAGCTTCACTGTCGGTACCCACTTTACCCTCAAGAACTTCCATCCTCAACAGCAAAGCTTCGGCAAACTGTCTCCAGCTGATAATTATTTTACACAACAAAAACTGCCTTCTCCCCTCGAGCACCTGCACCGGCTTGACAAAAACCAAACAATATTGATTCCTGCAAAGAACAGCACAAGAGCTTCAAGTATTTCCTCGGCACAAAACAATGACGTTAATTAGCAGCAAACAGGATCGTGCGCGTGTATCCAAAACGCGGATGTGCAGGAAACAATGAACAAAACATATCAAGGTCGTTTTCAGAATATGACAGCCTTTCACAGCGAGTTGAAATTTTGAGCCCTGACTTTAGGATATCTAAATTTCTTTCAAGTGGCCTCCAAAACCTGAACGTGAGCTATGAAAGTGATGACTTTTAAGTGTACTCACAGCTAGGGATGCACCGATACCGAGTATTTGGGCGAGTACTCGTACTCGCCCAATTGCTCTGATACTTTCCCCGATACCGGACTTCCAGTCAAATTTCCAGGAAAATTTCTCTTGTGCTTTCTTTAAAGGAGGTTTTTAGAAGTTTAAATAGCTGAATGGTTCTCATCCTTCTGCCTCTTTGATGATGGGAACAATCTTCAATAGATGTGATTCACCAGCAAAGGGCAAAGGGTTGACCATCTATTTGTGTCTAGTTGATTGGGAGGTGTACAAGCTGTCCCCTTGCAGAAAACCGCTGAAATTGTAAAAACAAAAAAGTTACACTTCGGTCAAATGTGGTCTTGTGGCTTCTAAAACGATTCTCACTAGAAAACCATGCGTAAACCAAAAAAACTGTATCGGTGCATCCCTAATCACAACCCTACCATTTCTCAGAGGAAGATTTGCCCTGACCGGTAGTGCCATAGAGCAACATGGAGTTTGCTTACTGGGCAAACTGATTGCCCGGGAAGCCGGCTCTATGCCAGTGGAAGCACCAGTATCGGTACTTGGTATCGGCGAGTACCGAATGCCAAATATCAGTACTCGTAACCAAAAAAAAAAACGGTATAAAGTCCATCCCTAGTCATAACCCTACCATTTCTCTATGTGGGACATACCAGACCTCCAAGTCAAGCCTTGTCTACTGAGGGCTGAATAAATAAAATGATGAGCTGAACAGTAAAGTACTTACAGGTACATTGTGGCATTTATTGTTAGCTGACCAAAACGTGTACACATGAAAGGGTCCCTTTAAAAAGGTCACAATGCTTCTCTTCCACAGTATACAAACAATGCTCCTTACTGGGGTCACACGATGGACTACAAGAGGACAGCTTGTACACCTCCCAAACATCTAGACACAAATAGATGGTCAACCCTTTTCCCTGTCCTGGTGAATCACATCTATTGAAGAGTTTTCTCATCATCAAGGAGGCAGAAGGATGAGAACCATTCAGCTATTTAAACTTCTAAAAACCTCCTTGAAAGAAAGTAACCTCCTTCACTAACGACCAGTGTGTACATGCGGGAATGCAAAAACATGGCTGCTGAACATGCGTCTAAAAGTAGACACTACATGGTGTCTTTATACCTTTGTCAACAAGAAAGTCACCCTATCTAGGCTTGGTCGCATTAGTAAAGTGGACCTAGTTTTAGATATCATGCATGGGAAGTAATAAGTGTAACACTTTTAAGTATTTATTATCATTCACAGAGATCACAGTACTCCCCCAGACAATGCCTTTATTTGCTTTTCTCTCCAGATGGACAATACCATCTATGTTTAAACATCATCCAGGGCCAGCACAGAGTTCCGGGACCAAGATGCCAGCTCAAAAATAACACAATCATGTAACTGTTGGTTGTTTTCCAAATGCCTGACACCGATCAGCCCCTGCTGTAGGCTTTTACCTTGTGCTTGCTTCAAAGCTACAATCTGATCACTGAGGAAGAAGAAACTAAGGAAATGTTCCTCCTGCCTGCAGCAGACTAACAACATCCTCTCAGACTAATCAAATTCATTTGATTGGAGTTTAAGGGCATCATTTAATGACAAAAGGTAATAAAATTACACACTTGCTGTACTGTATATTCAGGGGTGTGGAAATTTTGGAAAAAACTACTTGTCCAAGGACTAAAGCGGGGGCCGAATCTACTTGTCCCGATACAAAAAAAATTATTTTAACCAAAACCGTATTTAGTAGTGCTAAGAAGCGCTTCTCATTGGTCAGTGCTTGCTATTTGTGAGCGAAATTCAGAATACAGTGAACAGGTAGATAGTACACCCGTACTGGTGGACGGGAAGGACCGGTCGACGAAAGGTAAGTATAGTGGGAGGGAGATTTGTGCGGGTAATTCCATTTTCCCAAATTACTTGGGAAAGTGAATTTACCCTTTAGGGTTGGTGCAGACTTGGGGATTCCCAGGACGTGCGATCGTGTGCGGTTGCATACAGCGGTTGCATCCGCATGTATGGGGTTACATCTGCGTGGCAATCGCTGAACACGACTGGGATGTACCTATTTTCACGAAATGCACCGCACAGTGTTTTCAACCGTGATCGCCCTGGGCGGTATTGCAGCAGGTAAACGCGCAATCTGCCTGGCACGACTGGGGTGCCATTAGAAAATAATGGCACTGACAGCACGATCGGCGGTGGTGTGAGATTCCGTCACCGTGACCACCCAGCCATCTGCTCGATTTCGTGCACGGTGAACACGGTCACGGACCGCACACCACTGCCGATTGTGCTGACTGCCGTCAGTGCCATTATATTCTAATGGCACCACAGTCTTGCCAGGCAGATTGAGCGTTTGTCTGCTGCAATACAGCCCTGCCCGTGCGGTTGCACACGATCGCAGTTGAAAACACTGCGCGTTTATGTGCGTGCAGATGGGGGCAGCGCGGCTGGTTTTAATTTTTTAAATTTTTATTTACTTTGGAAAAAATTTTCATTTGTTTTGTTTTATTATTTTTACGTTATCACCCTTTTATTTTTTACATTTATATTTAGTTACGTTTTTAATATTTTTTACTTTTTTTTTAACTATTTATTTTTTAAACTTAACTGTATTGCTATTACACAGAGGTTAACAAATCCCCTGTGTGATAGCATTTGGAGGTGACAGGTACACTTTATTCAACCTGTCACCTCCAACACAGGAGTTCTAGCAGGCACTGTTGCTAGAACTCCTGTGTGACAGGAATGAGCAGCAGCCGCTGAGGACAGAGGCTGACCCCGCCCCCCGCTCTCGGCGCCCTCCGCCCCCCGTTCGCAGCGGCGCTCGTGTAAGAAAATAAAAAACCAGCCCTGCTACTTGTCCGTAGCAGGGCTAAACCAGTGTAAAAAGCACTTGCCCGGAACTACATGTCCCGGGCGTCGGGCAATACGAATTCCACACCCCTGATATTGTGACAAGTCCGGAATGTATTCACGTAGACTTGTAACATTATAAAAAGGAGTCAATTTCTCAACTTCACGGCCTAGCCCAAACCACCTGTAATTCCCCTGTCCTATAAAAGCACCTTAGCAGCCGATATTGGAACTCTCATTAAAAAGGGAGGAGTGATCATTCTCGAGCAGGTTTACTTTTGAAGATTTAACACAAGTGACAGGCTAATTGTAATGAATAAAGCAAAGCACATTAAAATGCATGGCTGCGGAAGGGTTAACGTACAGCAATCAGCCTGAATATGTTTCTGGCTGCCGCTTCAATTCCCAAAACCGCGACCCAAACATTAGTGCCCTGTCACCGTTAAAAAATAATCATTTCAATAATTAGTCAGATTGCTAATTTCCAGCAGCAGATATCGATCGCGGAGACCTAGGTGAGACAAAGGTGCAAAACCAGCCGTCATGTTGAAAGGGCTCCCAGGAACGTCTTTCTCTCTCTCTCTCTCTCTCCCTCGTTCCTGCCAGACACACAATTCAATGGCTGCAAGAAAATTCAATATCTGCCACCCCGGCAGTTTTAGCCAATCTTAGATATCCACTGACCTTCATAGGCCTGGTGGACAAGGTTGAAGAGTTGCTCTGCTTGCTTTTTCAGTTCAGGGTCCCTGTGCTTGTCAGGGTGGTACAGCATGCACAGTCTGCGGTACGATGCCTTCAATTCCTCCTGAGTAGCCTAAAAAGAAAGAAAATAAAAATAAAATCAGTAACAAGCACATCCTTAAAAAAAAAAAAAGTCAGAGGGTCGTAATGACAAATTATTGTAAAAAAAACAAAAAAAAAACTACAGTATGACCAAAGTTTAATTTTACATTTACCCCTTAAAATCAAGAGATGAAATAATGTTATAGTGCAGAAAGAAATATGCAACCTTTTAAAGCATAAGTGCACCTATAAAGCATTTTTTAGGGAGTAAGCAGAGTAACAATTAAGTGCATAAGGTTGAATATAGGAAAATATCTGAGGCAGCAGAAATACTGCTTTAGAACTAGCCAAGCTGTCATTTCTGCAGCCCTTGAAAACCAAACTGCAGCTCTGCTCTCAACACAATAACTGGCGTGCAGCTGAGAACACATGGAGGTGGGGGGGGGGGGGGGGGGGATGTCTATGAAATGTTGGACATGCCCTTCCGTGGGCCAGAACGTCCAAGACTCCACCTACCTGTATATCAGCTGTACAAGTGGCTTGGATTGGGAAGAACCACTCGAGATGGTTTGGAGTGGGCTGTGTATACAAGCGGTCCAAAATGGCTTGGAGTGGACAGGTGAGAATCACTTCACATAGCTTGGAGTTGGTGGGATGAGAAGAGCTCTAGGTGGCTTGAATTGGAAAGGTGATAAGGGCTCCAAGTGGGCAAGGTGAGAAGGGCTCCAAGTGGCTTGGAGTGGGCAAGGTGAGAAGCTGTCTACAAGCTGGCTACATGCACTCACTGTTGTATATCACTGTTCAGGATCAGCTACTTGAAAGTGGACCATGCCCGCACATTCACCAGGTTTGAATGTGACAGGGTTAGGCAAGTGAAGCACAAATGGTAGACAGCCGTCACGCCTTAACAGCAAGTGCGTCAACAAGGAACTTCATGGCAGGATTACCAAATATTTAAACAGACTGAAAACACTAAAGCTTATATGGAGGTTTTAGTGATTGGGTTTACATCTACTTTAATAGTCCTGGTCTGGATATACAAACCCCATACAGAAGAAAACAAACTTGAAAGTTCGTACTTGGGGCCTTTAAGGAAATGGAAAGCAAAAGCATTGAGTACTTGGAAACGTTGATTTTACTCCCACTGTAACGAAGGCTAAAAGGCTTAATGAAGAAACATAAAAATGGTGCAGATTAAACCACACAAACGGTTCTGCCCATCTGGGACGCAGAGCTACAGTACGCGCCCAAGGTCATCGGGGAATATTATGTCCAACTTCACAGCCCAGTGCTCTAACAAGTAGGTCACTACATCAACGTCTCCACAAATAGGAGCTGGAATAACATGGAGGCACTCAGGAACAAATATTAAATGCCAATCACTTCCGACACGCAATCTACTGAAAAAAAAATATATGTTAAAAGCATGATTTGGGTCTAAATTTTAACTGCTTCACGACTTCCGCCGTTCATACCATCATGACCAGAACTATAAAGGCTGGAAGAGGGATGCATTCTATTTTGTTTGATTGAAAGGGGATCGCTAATCAACATGTATTGTTTTATTGGCAGGAGTTCAAATATGTAAAATTCTGGAGCTTCTCTAAAGTCTGAATTGGTGTCTGTATCTACGCTGGGGATATTTCCTTTCCCCACACTGAGGTGAAAATGCCCCAAATAGGGACACGTAACAATGAAATCCCAACAGAGGTTCTAACCCCTTCTCCATTTCAGCCAAAATTAAAGGCATTTTAAAGAACACCATTTATAGATCGTTCAAATCAAGCAACCCTTTCAGTAAAAACAAATTCTTGTTACAATTTACAGCTTTCTGTCCTTTGATGCTCCAAAGGTCTATAGGACCCCATTCACACTGAGCGATTTGTAGCGTGGTTTCAGCTCAAAAAACGCTCAAACATCAGCTCAATGTAGCTTGTCCAATGCATTTCTTTCACAAAGGTTTTATTTGGTTTTTATAATTTTTGTTTTCACATAAAAGGTTACAAAAATAAGAGAACAGAAATAGGGCGTGCAAGCCCCGCAACAAGGAACGCAAATTGAAAGTATGCAGTCATAACATTGTGCAGAGCCCTGCAGACTGTAAAACTAATCAACGGAACAAGTGTCAAAGATCATTATGAGCGTATAAAGAGGGCAGTGCTGTTCAGTTTTAGTGAGTAGGACCTAAGATGACATGAAAAGGAGCATCATAGGGGGGGCTTATCAGGTCTGGACTCTGGGTATCATGGAGTAGAGAGCAATAAGGTGGACGGTCCCCTACACCGAGACATCCGGTGCAGATGGTACGGGGGACGTCAAACAGCACAGATCGGTGTAGGGAGAGCAACAGGGGGGTTAAAGGAAGAGGGCATGGAAGCAGAGAAGGAGGGAGAGACCGGGAATGGGAAAGAACAAGAGGGGAGTAGGACAAGGGAGGATGGTGCGCTGGGGAGGGGGACCAGGAGGGGGTGGGAAGTACAGAGCCTCTAAATGGAAAGAAGCTGCGGATGGAAGGATGGTGGCTTAGAGTAAATCGATCCAAGGTTGCCAAATCAGTAGGAAGCGGTCATGGGTGTCGGACAGAACCGCAGTCAGTTTCTCATTGACCAGTATATCATCTATGCGATTTTTGACTTCCCTGAAGCTCAGAGTCGTGGTTTTCCACGCTCCGACGATTGTCATTTTGGTGGCGACACAGATGTGGGACACAAGGTGTTTCTGGTACCAATGCATTTCAATAGAGCTGTTCATATCTCACAGTTCAATGTCGGCTGTACCTCAAGCTTGTCGTTTGAACATGACCCATTTTTTGGGGGATTTCGTGCGATTTTGGCCCAATAGACTTCAAATGGTGTAGCTCAATGTCGCACAAATTTGCTAGACATTGTCGCGCTACAGAAGTGTCACTTTTGCACAGAAATATAAGCAGGAACATAAGCAGGAAAGAGGAAGAGGTATCATGTCACATAACGACCGCTTTTGATTGGATACAGCCCAATGTAGCAGCTATGACGTCCAAGCCAAAAGTAGCGCGACGATATGCGCACTGTAGCTCAATGTCTCTCAAAGTCGCTCAGCTCAAATCAGCGCTGAAAAATCGCATTTTCTCATGTAGCTCAGTGTGAATGGGGTCTTAAGGTTCAATGATGATGTGCAGGAAACAAGCAAAAGTGGGTAGGCCAAGGCTTAACCTTCTAGGCTCAAGTTGGTATTTGAATAAAAAAGTGCCCCGAGATCTAGTGGGATTGAGAAGAAAGCTGTAGCTATATCCAGATGTCCCCTATTACATCCAAACCATGGTTTACTGATATGACGATCTCTACAGGTACACTATTAACTGGCGTTTATTACTGGCTCTCCCACTTTCAGTACAGAGCTGTGCAGTGCCCATAACATGCCAACATTAAACAATAATTTAGTTCTTGTAATGGTGTCTAGGCTTGGTGTCTTAAGAGCCTCAGTTGTTAGATTTGTGCCAAGAATGAAGGTTGAACCAAAGATTTCAGACAGCCTTTGTCTGAGAAGATGAACAGTCTTCCCGTTACTGCCTGTCCTATCTCTGCATGACTGAGAACTTGATTTAAAAGCACCAGTAACTACCAAGTGTATGTTAAAGTGCATCTGTAGTCCTAAAAATGCCATAAGCTGTAAGGACGTCATACAGGGACTGAAGACACTGTCCTTTAATCTGCCTAAAAATATTATTTCAGTGATTGGCAGGTATTAAAGATTTTGGTGCCACTATAGGACACAGTAATGACGTGGAAGCCAGCAGATGGACCTACGGAGCTTACTAGCGAACTACACATCTGGCACACCCTCCCTTTTCCATCTTCACAGTACAAACATGCAATTGTAGGGTGACCAAATGTAAATGCATGACACTGTTCAGCAAGACTTCTCCCAGAACGGTCAAATTGTGCCCGAGATCCCAATAGACGAGGCATATGGCCAGATTTTGTGAGCTGCTCCTTTAAGCAGCCCGTGATGCGCAGGTACATTTTAACTAAGCTGTCATGTAGAGATTGTGATTTGTGAACTTGCTTTCCTCACATAACGAGAGACAGTGATGAACAGTCAGGAAGTGGTAATTAGGGACATCTCTCTCAGCTGAGGGGGAATGCTACGGAATTGACTGGCGACATGTGTTTATTACAGACAGAAACAGAGATAGCGGGAGAAAAACCTGAATCATGACCTGACAGACAGACCAATAAAATCAGGCCAGAGCCTTAAAACTTCTACTCAGGTGCACAGAGGTACAATAATACACGTAAAATATAAGAATAGCACAACATACCAAAGTATCGTTGCTGATCTCACAGAACTGGACGGCACTGTCCATTGTCCACTGTATTCATCAGACGTGGTGTCAGATTCCTCGCATCACCTTTCAACATCTCGTGGAGTCAATGCAAAGAAGAATCGCCACAGTATTGAAGGCAAAAGGTGGCCCAATTAAGTACTGATGGGGTGGTCATAATAATCTGGCCACTCAGGGTGTGTATATAATATATTAAAAACACACACACACACACACTTAAATAATCCTAAATACACCAATTTAAAATGGACTATAGTTTGCTTTTAAAAGACACCTGTGCCAACAATCTTTGCTTAGGTGATACTGCTGCCTAAAGAATCTTCTGCCTTCAACCCTACCTGGTGTGTTAAATGTCTGGTCCCCTGCTGTGTTTTTGGGTTCGGAGGATAGCACAACAATGGGGAGCATGGGGACCAGAGAAGATCGGCAGCGTAGGCAGCAGGACATGTAAATATTAAAAGCCTTCTTTGCATTTATTTCATTTACATGGTGACGGCGTCTTTATAGATTTGAAAGACAATGCTGGAGAAATGTGCAATATGCAAACATGGACAATTTTGTTGGTACCCTTCCACAAAAATAAAAGAACCCACAATTTTCCCTGATATACAGATGTGAAGGGTGCCTTCTCCAGATTGCATGTTTCAGCTCTTTCCATAGATGTTTGATAGGATTCAGATGAGGGTTTATAGAAGACGAATGTTTTG